TTCTGTCGAACACGACGCTGACCCCAACCCCGTCGTCTGCGTCCGCGCTCCGACCCACCATGGACATAGCGTTCGACGAAATCAAGTGGTTAAAATCACAACCTCCGCGGCATCAACTATGTCTGCGCGGCACTGAAGCGACACCACCGGCTGCAGCACAACTTCATCGCAGCTCATGTTGAAATGTCGCTGGTGACCCATGCGGCCATTTTGGACGTGCACACGGGGCTGGGACCCCGCGGAGCCGACTCGGTCAAAGTCGGGACGAATCTGGCTCCCCTCTTTCCTGGTGCCGTCTTGGTATCGCATGGTCTTGACCGTAACGACAGCGCTTTGTCCTGCAACTGTCCTCAGTCTATATCGCAGCACGTCTACATCCGGTCGCGGCCATCTCGTCAAAGAAAGACATTCAAGAAGTCGGGACAGTACCATTGTTGGGACGTGCTACAAGCGATGCGAACGAACAATGCGTCACGATGCAACGAATCGCCACGTAGCGGCGACAAACTTGCGCGATGTGTTGTATCGGCGTGACGATGGGCAGTGGAAGGACAGCGCTGTGTCTGGAGGCGCGTCATTGTAGCTGCAGCGGCGCGTCGCTAGTGCAGATGTTCCTACCAAAGAACTCTCTCTTTGAAAGCAGGTAACATTCGGTTGGGACCACCGCATTCGATCACGGCGATTTCTGTCACCAGACTTGTTCTCACTGAAATGGCCGCCTTCGTGAACCGTCTGCCCAACCACGCAAGCGTTAGAGAGGCTCGGCGCCGGCCAGGTAAGACCAAAGCCAAATACGTTCCTGTTCGAGCAGCACGATAGTGCAAACCGAGGCGGCTCGCGGCTGTGACGCCATGCCACCTCTCGCCACCACTGGTCATGTCAAAATCATTGCGTCCATGAGCTAGTGGTGTACACTTCAATTTAAGTTAGGTTTGGTTCGCGGGGAGCGGTGTCTATGCGGGGATGGACAGCATCGCCGTGAGTTCGTTCAACCATGTCCAGTCGTCGTCTTTCAGCGTGTCGAATACGCTGCAGTCGCTGACCAACAACGTGTGGAGAACTCCATCCCAGAGCTCCGAGTCGGACGATGCGCTCGGTGGCGCAGGCTTTTGGGCTTGGTGCTGGTTGCAAAACCCGCCGACGCGAATGTGCTGGCTGCACCCTGGGGCTCGGCAGTACCGGCCTCCGCCGTGACTGACACACTTTTGCTGTGCGTGCGCCTGCTTCGTGCACCCCTCCGTCGTGCAGTACCGCTTGACGATGTGGCCTCCGTGTTTGGTGCACCAGTCGCCGCCGCGGACGTTCCCCCCGCACCCCTGGACCTGGCACGTTTTCTTGCCTCCGTGGCGAACGCACCGGTTGCGGGCGTACACCATGTTGGGGCAGTCTTGGACACAGCACTTGCTGCGACTTTTGTGAAACGCGCACTTGTCCGTGAACGAGAGGCGGACGTTGGGGCAGCCCTTGAACGCGCACGTGGTCATCATCTATCTTGTCGAGTGGATTTGAAAGTGCTGCTTCCTGTGTGGCTGGCGTGATTTTCGCCCCATGCTGCGTGTCCCGTCCCACTGCAGCTGCAGCGTGGTGGATGGGCCAAAATATTCAAAAATTCGGCGAGCAGTCTTTTTGGCGGCGCGGCGAATGGCCGGGGCGGGCGCTGGACACTTTGCCGAAAGTGCCCACGTTTAGAATGTCGAAGGCACTGATTTGCATGTGCATTCTCGCGTGGAGGGAAAGTCGCAAGGTTGTATTTACCATTCGCATTACGAGAGGGAGGGGCCAGATCGAACGGACTCGACTGGAAGCCGTCGTGGACGGCTGCCGAAGGCTCTCGAGATGTGCCCAAGCTGTTTCACATGTTTGGCAGCACGCCGGAAGTCCACTGCGGACGATGGAGACGGTCAACGGGGGAAGGGGGGCGGCGTTTTGACCCCCACACGCCCCCTCCCCACAACCACGCATACATCCAACTTGACGAACCTGCAGACGCGACAGCCCGGTCCAAGGACGTTTTCTGGAAGGTGCCGCCTCTCGACGGCCCAAGATGCGGAGAGGTTGACTTCGCACGCTGAAAGCGATCCTGTGTGCGCGTTATCACTTCTCTCACCCAACGGACGCGCCGGTCGGTGACCAACCGATCGCTCGCCATGATGGAAACCATTCCTCCTCTTGAATTTTGATGAAATCGCTTTGATTGGCTACCCTCGTTTTCGACATGGCCCAATTTTGGATGTGGAAACTCGTCCGACCAGCCGTCAACTTTCAGCGAGTGTTCATCACGGTCCTATCGAACGTGCGCTGAAAACGTTCCAGCTAGACATCGCGACTCCACGTTGTCAGGGGAAGCATAAGGGGGTGTTTGGTGGCTTGGTGCTGGTTGCAAATCCCGCCGACGCGAATGTGCTGGCTGCACCCCGCGGCTCGGCAGTACCGGCCTCCGCCGTGACTCACACACTTTTGCTGTGCGTGCGCCTGCTTCGTACACCCCTCCGTCGTGCAGTACCGCTTGACGGTGTGGCCTCCGTGTTTCGTGCACCAGTCGCCGCCGCGGACGTTCCCCCCGCACCTTTGGACCGGCACGTTTTCTTGCTTCCGTGGCGAGTGTACCTGTGGGGGGCGTACACCTTTTTGGGGTGGTCGGTGTTCACGACGTGAAGGTGAGTGAAGGTGAGAATAGGACGACGGCACCAGAGCTGCTCCGGGGTCTTGCAGACCTGAGATCGTCCAAGGA